TCAATGAGTCCTTGGTTGATCAGCTTTGTATGTCTATATCTGTTTTCATAAGAAACCACTTTGAAGATATCAATATGTAATACAACAAGCATTGTCAATTCCCTACCACTCTGTTTGTAACTCTGTACTGTCTGTACTTTTCCTTTGCTATTTTGTAAAATGTCGACTGTCTGTTAATATTTTCCTCCTTTTATTTTTAAAATTAAAAAAAAGGAGAAGAACACAGACCCAGGGTGGCCCATGAGGAGGGCCCAGCACTTCCCCCACTCCCTCAGGGAGAGCAGTCAGTATGTGGGCATGGGGTGATGTCTTGTCTCTGTTCCCACTCTGGTCTCCTCCTACTTTTCTAGACTCTGCCTTGGAAAAGCCAGACTTCTACCTCAATCTCCCAAATATTGAGGAGGAAGCATTCTTCAGGATTCGCCTGCATCAATTAATTTTACACTGGTGACCAGAAAGATTTATAGATCTGAAATGGACAAAGCCAAGTCAAGTCAAGCTGAGCTTGCCTGTTGGAAGTATTAATAATTTGGTATGTTTATATTAATGAAGAAATAAGCAATGGCTGGAGGGACACATCATGAATAAGGGGGCTCATCTGAAGTTCTAAAAGGCAGACCCAGTGCTATGAGTAGGCTGTTCTATAGGCCCAGTATCGGGCTCAGAACCTGCCAGATGCACCTGTGCTCAGCCCTTTCCAGCCCCTGCTCTCAACACAGAGGCACCAGGGAGTCTGTCCACATCCTCTGCAGGGCTGACCCCAAATCCTGGTATCAAAATCTCTCGGTGCGGGTTTGGGAATCAAGAGCTTCTAAATCACACCAGATGATTTCCATGTTCACAGGAGCCAGGAAGGGACCTTTGTGGGGTATAGTGATGATAGTGCAGAAACAGAAGCAGACAGACCACGGGGTCAGGTGAGTTGGGGGTCATTGAGCTTGTATGAGAAAGTTCTGTACCACAGGTCTCAGCTTCACTGTACATTAGGTCATTCTGAAGCCTGAGACCACCATGAGGGGGACTTAGTGAGCCTGAGGGAGAGCTAGGGCAGGTAGGACCATAAAGCTCCCAGGGGAGGTTAATGCAGCCCATGCTGAGACCTCTTCAGGCCTTGGCCTGGGCCCTACAGACCTAACCAGCTTCATCACCAGCTCTGCCATCCTGAATTCCTTTTGCCTTCAGGCCCACACTGCTCACGCTCCACAGCTCTGCCCCTGCTGCCCTGCTGCTCAGACTGAGTTGGGCAGGGTTAGGGTGGTGTAAGTGAGGCATCCACTGTGGGTGTAAAATCCAGGTCTCCAGGGCACTCAGCCATCTTGATACACAGTGTATTGATGCAAACTATTACAAAACCGAAACTACTACTAAACATGCTGCGATGAGCTAATTAAAGCTTTAAACAGGCTTCTACTTTGCATTTGTAACAGTCACTCAGCCCTACCTAATAATTCTTTTAAGTCCAACTTAGTCTGTTACATTTGTGTTCCCCTTTCAAATATTCCCATGATGTGCAATACTAATTTTCCTGATGACTGAGGGCTTTGGTGGCCCTCACTGTAGAGTCAGAGGTACCTGCCTCCTGGAGATGCCCCAGGTCCCCACCTGGCTCAGAATGACCTGCTCCCCATGTGGAGTGCCTACTCATTACCTGCTTGGCCTGGGCTCCAGTGCTAACTTCTTGAAGAAATTTGTTCTAATTAGAGGAACTCATTCCAATGACTCTGAGTCACTCTGTATTCCAGCAGCCTGGGATATCAGCAAGTGAAACTACCCACTTAGCTGAGTTCTCCAGCATTGTCTAGCTCCCTCATTGACTGACAGGCATATAAAGGCGAGAGCTGAGTCTTTCTTGTTCTCCTCTGTGTCTATTGTGCTTGGAAAATGCCTGGAAATTAGTAGGTGCTCTACTGGCCCATCTTGCTTTTACCTTTGGAAATGACATTCTCCCTCAACACAGGATGTCACTGGGGAACTATGCTTTGGAGCTACTGAGAGTGAAGACTGTTCACAAGAATAGGTCCCATGGATGGGGTGTATTCCTTGTTAGCATCTTCAGGAGAGAGGGTATGGACCTTTTTTTTGTATTTCTGGTGATTAAGCCTCAGTCACGGGACTCACTCATGCTAGGTAAATGTTCTATCACTAGGATGGAACACAATCCAGGTTTTCCATCTTGTAAACACATGCACACTTGCCTTTCTGCCAAGGGATGGCCCGAGGTGCCTTGCCCCAACCCACTACTGGTGCTACAGTCCTAGCCTTCTTTACCTTGACCTGTGATCCAAACAAATTTCTCCTGTTTATGAATTACCTATTCCCAGCCTTGGGGACATCTTTTGAGGCTGAGTGAGCTGCAAGTACAAAGGACAAGGTAAAAGGCATTTCCTAGAGAAGAAGGGCATGGGCAAGAGAAAATGGGTATGGATCCCCATGGTTCTGGAGAGCTGAGGACAATGCATGGGTTTAAGGTCACAACAGGACTGGATGTTGACCATGAGTGTGAATGGGAAGAGAGGGAGGAGTCAATGGCCAGTATGCTGGCCAGGGGCTAAGACTATGATATATTACAAAACACTGCCCATGAAAGCAGCAATTCCACCAAATTAAGTGAACCCCACACTATCTCTCTTGGCTTCTCTAAAGAAGCTAGTGATTTCTTTGATTCACTCCCTTTGATTCTCCTGGGATCTTGAGTGAAAGTATTCCAAGGCCCTTGCTTTCCCACTCCTTAGGGAAACTCCTTACCTAGGCTGCCTATTATCCCAGCTCCTCCATGGTAGAATATGATGCCTCCCTGGGAGCAACTGGATGTTGCCTTGGGCTGGAAGAGCCTCACAGAGATTGTCCCATAGCGAAGGTCAGTCACTACCACTTTAGGGTCCTTCTTCTTTCTGAACATTCTGTCTTGTACAAAGCGAGCAAAGGTGGGCATGGAGCAAATCTTCAACTTCTCTAGTACAATCCCCTGTTGGAGACAAGAAGAGGAACATGAGGTAGAGGAGAGGTTAGGATCTGAAAGTAGGTCTCCCTCCACATACCGCTGCTAAGACTTATGTTTCTCTCCTGTCTCCTGCATGCACAGTTGTTTTGCTGCATCTCAGTGGAACACAACCCAGGTTTTCCATCTTGTAAGCACATGCACACTTACCTTTCTGCCAAGGGATGGCCCGAGGTGCTTTGCCCCAACCCACTACTGGTGCTACAGTCCTAGCCTTCTCTACATTTGACCTGTGATCCAAACAAACCTCCTGTTTGTAAATTACCTATTCTGTAGTATTGCTAGAGCCACAGATAACAGAATGAACTAGATGTACTTTTGCTAAAGTGGTAGCCTGGTTTGTGGCAGAATTGGGAGAAGACCCTGAGTTAAAGCAAGTCAGTTGTCCAAGGTATCTGACTTATATCCTTGCTCTCTTTGCTTTTATGGTGAACTCTACTCAGCCTGAGATGGCAAAGCTGTTTGGTCACCTATGTCAACCTTTGTCACTGCATACCCAGAGCTCTGGGTTTGGGAGCATCCTTCAGCTGTGTTTGTGTTCAGCAGATAAGAATAATGTGATTATTTAGGGATGTCAGCTGTGAGCTCAGAAGGGAGGAGTACTGGCAAAGGGCTGCATATGAGGTGTGGTAAAAATATAACGTGCTTAAATTTTGAATATTTTAACACAGAAGAGACACACTGTCATCAATTGCCTTCAAAATACTCACGCTCACTTTAAATATGCTCCCCATCATTCTTATCTCTTTCTGAAGTATCTGTGAAAGTCTTCTTTTGTGTGTGTCTTCAGTTTTTCTGTTATGGCTGCCTTGACAAGCCAAATCCATTCAAACCACTTACCTTTCATGGTGTCTTTTACTTTGCGAAAGTCAGAAGTCCCATGTTTCCATTGGTGAATAAAGTAGCTGAGGACACCCCATAATGCTTTCTGTAGATTGGCACTGGGCAGCAGCACTCACTCACTGTATTTTTTATTACACTTAACAAAAATATTCATGAGAGAGGACCTCTAGGTGTGCTTCACAAAGTGACAAGGATGACAGGATGAGTGTGTTTGGGGGATTAATGACAATGGATCCTTTGTTGTAAAAAGATTTTAAAATTTTAAACATTTTCCATATTTTTCAGCTACTCTGTACTTAGCAAATATGTTTTTAAACTAACATGCTAACTCTAATTACAAACAAGCCAATCTGGATATTTTGAGAAACACAGTTACAAGGTAAGATAGTTCCTGTACAAAGTGCGCTGTAATTTTAGATCATTTCCCCCACCATCATCATATTTTGGATCTATCTTGGCCCTAAGGTATTACAGGCTAGTCTTGGGCTCCAGAACTAAAAACAAAGGACTCACATATCCAAGGGATCCAGGAAATCTGGGCTTTTCCAACTTTTAGTGTTTTTCTTCAACAGCAGCCCACCAGAGACTGAATTATTATTTGCCAGACAGTTCTAAACCTAATAATCCCTTTCACATGTCATCTGATAAGACAGATACAATTGTTACATCCATTTTACAGATGAATCTTAGACACAGAAGGTTTTTGCAAGTGCCCCATCTATGCAGGACAAATGTCTGAGGGCAGGTAAGTGCTACACTGAAGGTGTCAGTGCCCATCAAACCATTCGTGAGTAGGGGCTGGGTGTGAAATTGTTACTCAATCCTCGGGAAAGAGCCTGTGGATTGGCACTTGACAAATATTTTATGTTGAAGGAAGAAAGGGAGGGTGTTAGTGAAGGTAGGGGGACTAGCAAGAAGGAAGGAGGGAGTGAAAGGGAAAGGAAGAAGGGATGGAAGCATAGAAGGAAAGGAAAAGGAAGAAAGAAGGGAAACAAAGATTAAGGAACAAAAGAAGGAGGAAGGGAGGGGGAAAGGAGGGAGATAGGAGGGAAAGAAGTTGTGAAGGAACAATGGGAGGAAGAAAAAAAGGAGAGATGAAGAAAAAAGAGGAAGAGAAATAGGAGGAAAAGAAAAAAAAGGAAGTAGGCAGGAAAAAAAGAGAGAAGGAATGAAAGTAGCCAGAAGGAAAATGGAAGGAAAGAAGCACAGAAAAAAAGGAAAAGAAGGAGGGAAGGGACAAGAAGGAAGGAAGGAAGGAAGGAAGGAAGGAAGGAAGGAAGGAAGGAAGGAAGGAAGGAA